TTTAATTAACTGGCCATATAAATAGTATGCAAGAGGGGGAATGGTTAAAAAATTTACAAATTGCATTATGCGTTATCATGTGTTGTTTTTCTTTTCTACATTATTGTTTTTCTTTTAAGATTGATTCAACTATGCTTCATGTACCATAAATAATGGATCACGTCTGGGAGACGTGAAGAGGGGGACTCAAAACTTTCTCTCTGAGAAAGTTTCCCTTTTGTTTGTTTTTTATTTAGTTTATGTCACGCCTTTCCCTATATGACACGTCTTTAGAGACGTGTAGAGGGGGATTTGTAAGAAATGCTATTTTTATAAATAGCTTATTGCTATTACATTGCTATAACTAATTCCTTTTTCCAAGACAAGCTTTGACCAACACACACACTCTTGCCACAAATGCACTCACACACACAGACTCACTCAAGATAAGAGATAACTAAACGCACACACCAAATCTCCTACTTTGCTGAAACATTCGGAACAAAGGCCCTGAGCTACAGTGTGTAAATCTCCTAGACCCAATCACAGAGGACGACGCCCGAGCAGCATGGACCAACCAGAAGACCAGATCTGCTAGACTCAACCCACTTTACAAATAGTATAAAACACCAGTGTACTGTTTTTTTGGCGCTTTTTCTGGAAGTTCCCTATGAGCTGAAAGAACGAGACCGTGCACGTTTTGTACCAGACATTTTTACTCTGAATAAACTGCCGCTTGTCATACAATTTACCACCTAGTCTGAATCGATCATTCGCCGACTCTCCCTTCTCATATCCCGTTATTAACAATATCTTAATACTCCCATGCCCCGCATTCACTGACAGTCAGCCTGCGCAGCTGATGGCTAATCGAAACGACACCTAAACTATATAGAAATTAATTTTACACTTAAAATAGTTTGCCTAAAGACGAGATTAAATTGACAATAGTCTGATGGGTCACGATGATCAATTGTGAAAGTGTACATGATGAGATGGGCACAGCTTCGAATTGACAGAGGCAGGGAAACAGAGCGCTAAAAAGTAACTTTTTCAAATCCTCCTACAGAGTCACATGCAGGTAAGACGTTTTGATTTCTATATAGTATCAGAAAGAGCAGATTCTGCAGTTTCTAAAACAAATTCAAGAGGTGAGCTCTTTTTTTTCAAGAATAACCGCTGTTCCATGCATCCAACACGTGAGCACTCGCAGCAGCATTGTTCAGGCTAGCAAAGCTTAGAAACATAATACAACTTAAAATATGCTATTATGTTCTTTTGAAATACATTTTCTTATTTAAATAATGTTTCTTAAGACTAGCCAAAATGACATTTTAATGGATTTATTTGTGATGGGTTTAACTCTTGAATTGTGGTGGTCTTTCGTTTTTACATATAGCCCACAGCAGGGGTAGGCAACCCTGTTCCTGGAGTGCTGCAGGTACTGCAGGATTTTGTCCCAACTAGGCACCACACTGAGCTACCTATGCTGGTCATACATTACACAAAATCGTAACAACTTGGACGTGCTCACATTTACTTGTCCCAAATCTTTAATTCCGTCCATTCTCAACCCCAGGACGTGGGTGCTAACATTACACGATGATTCCGTAGTTGATCCTGCCCTGCGTTTCTCAGTTGTCGAAGGAAGAAAATGCAGACGCAAACAGAAAGCTGCTTTATTAGTGTACATTATTATGTGTAGAAACATTTTTTTTTAAAAGAGACTGGGGCGCAGAATATGGACCCGCAAATGGTTGGGCAGACGTGGACAATATGGACTGTCTCTTCTACAGAGGGAATTTGAGGTAAAATAAAACATTTAATTAAAGTTATAACCTATAAAACTTGTAATTAAAGTTATAGCCTAAAGCCGGTGTGTTGTTGCTTGCCTCGTTGCCTTCATTGTTTTGGTCTCACATGCTGAGTGGTTATTGACTATTGGCAGTAGTCTTCGCCCAATTGCCTCGAAGCACTGCTAATACTACAAGATACACGACAAAAATGTCTGACATGTCAGAAAATTATCGCGACATCCGACAGGGCTCTGGAGAACAGAACAGCCATCATCGGTGCCTCCTTGACAGGATCAAACTACTCGACCACAAGATGTCACCAAAACATTTCCCCAACACTTTCCCTGGCTGCCACTGCTCTTGCTCAACAAAAAATGTACTCTGTCATCACAACTTTTGCAGATTTTGTGGTAAATGTATCTATTTTCTTTTTACATTTTCAAAATGTTGTAGATATATTCCAATGAAGTTATATCTATAATTGTTTTTTAAATATACAAGTAGGAAGGCCTTAAGATAAATAATCCACTTGTTTAGAGAGAAATTTAGATAATTTTGAGTAAAGTAGTAATATGTTGGATGAGTGTGTTGGGGGCAACTCTGTCAGGTTGGATGGGGAGCGTTGCTGCACAGCTATTTGCAGGTCTCTCCAGAGATGTTCGATCAGGTTCAAGTCCGGGCTCTGGCTGGGCCACTCAAGGACATTCAGAGACTTGTCCCGAAGCCACTCCTGCGTTGTCTTGGCTGTGTGCTTAGGGTTGTTGTCCTGTTGGAAGATGAACCTTCACCCTGGTCTGAGATCCTTAGCGCTCTGGAGAAGGTTTTCATCAAGGATCTCTCTGTACTTTGCTCCGTTCATCTTTGCCTCGATCCTGACTAGTCACCCAGTCCCTGCCGCAGTTACCCCAGTACTTAAACCCCCCCGCCAATTTTCTAAAAACAACATTTAATGAAATAACTAAAGTGTAAACTGTAGCCATTTATGACCCTTGATAGTTTATTCGCCTAAGCATGACCTTCATCCACATACAATTTTTGTCCCAAAAGTTGCTTTTTTGAGTCAGCAATTAGACGTTGCTCTTAGGGGAGGCTAGTTACCCTGTAGTACCCTACTGATCCTAGCCCATAGGATTTCTACCGATCAGGAAAATGTGTTCTTTTGACGGCAAATACGTGTCAAAATCGTGTATGTCTGGCATTAGCAAACTGATCGGTCTTCCAGGTCGGTTAAATCCAAAGCATGAAGTGCCTGCGACACTCCAGGACCAGAGCCCTATACTATGTACTAGCCTCTTCGCTCCGGGAGACCTGTACACATTGGTCGCTGAAATCGACATCCGTACCCCGAAAACATACAGGATTTACCAGCCCTCTGGTTTACCTATTTCGAATAAACCTTTCCCGTCCGGAATGCTTTACCAGTCGGTACGGGCTATACAATGTGTGAAAATAAACGTTTCCTGAGTTTACCGAATTCACACCATATCTTTAAAAAAGGTGCGCTGTCATCTGGGATCACGCAGTAATCTTGCGTGGCAACTACTACGGAGTATGGGACTATGGAATGAGTTTCGGAAAATTTTGATTAAATTTACATTTTTACCATAGATCACACAGTGTATAGCCCGTACCGACTGGTAAGGCATAGATTTGCCCTCGGTGACGGGAAAAGTTTATCAGAAATAGGTCAACCAGAGGGCTGGTAAATCCTGTATGTTTTCGGGGTACGGATGTCGATTTCAGCTACCAATGTGTACAGGTCTCACGGAGCGAAGAGGCTAGTACATAGTATAGGGCTCTGGTCCTGGAGTGTCGCAGGCACTTCATGCTTTGGATTTAACCGACCTGGAAGACCGATCAGGTAAATATGTTTCGGTGTACGACATATCGATAGGAGTGGGAAACTATGGTCCTCGTGCATTGATAAGCACACCAAAGAAGGCATTAACGGTAAGTAATAAAGATGGCACTTCAACAAGCCTATTTCACACCATAGGCTGCTTAATTTGCAAGATAACTTTTATTTCATTTTGATTTCGGCACAAATGAAAATGTGGCACTGACTCTCCCATGGATTGATGTTTCACATTGTCTCAATATGAACAGTTCGGCGTTCGACTAGCCACGTGCGACACGTAGCAGGTTAAAATAATTTGGTTAAGGTTAGGAAAAGGTTTTAGAGTTAGTGAAAATGCTCTCCTAACCTGCTACGAAAAGTCACTTCCGGTCGTAGCTGTATGTTTTTAGGTCCCCCTCGAGGCCTTTCTAGTGTTAAATCGACATCAATATTGCTTTTAAAAGAAAGGTCAAAGTAAAGCGTTTTATTTTAAAAGGTTAAGTCCTTAATTTACTTCAGTAACTATTTTGTTTTCTATACTCTTGACATTTGCTTGCTTTGCAGAAATGATGTAGACTGGCTGAAGTGTAAGGAACATAGTTTAAATGCCCATGTTACAGGGATTATAAATACAGTGTAAAAAACACAATTGTTGTCCTGCTAGAAATGGTGACACTTCTGTGGAAGTTCAATAACCCAACAGTAGGTGGCCTCCAAGTCTAGTCAAACACACATTGCTGTTCTGAATATGTAGCCAAGGCAAAGTCAAGTTACACTTGGATGGTACTGCTGAGATTAAAGTATCAGAAATTCAGAGACTTTAATCTCAGCAGTACCATCCAAGTGTAACTTGACTTTGCCTTGGCTACATTTAAATTGAGAATGTGGAATGGGAATAGTACACTGGCCCCGTGTAGCTCAGTTGGTAGAGCATGGTGCTTGCAACGCCAGGGTTGTGGGTTCGATTCCCACGGGGGCCAGTATGAAAAATGTATGCACTCACTTAACTGTAAGTCGCTCTGGATAAGAGCGTCTGTAAAATGTAAAAATGTACATGCTGGAGCTCCTAAAACACCTCTAATCAGTTTAGAAGTCACTGTCTTGACAAGACTGGCTCCAAGACCTATGTAAAAACTACACAATTGGAAAGACAACTGACCTTGAGTAGTTGTCTTTCCAAGTGTGCTCCTGCTGCCATCTTGAAAAGAGAGGTTGTGAACATGGACTTTTTTGCACACGTATATTATGGCTATTCATCACCCCATAGTGTCTGAAATTGTAGCTCGTTGAATTTTTTGGGAGATTTGTGCAGGAAATTTAAAACATGCTAATTTGGGGGATAATGACTTGCATGGGATTTTTGGGACAGAAATGTTAGCATTTGGTGACAGCAGCCAGGTAAACAAAACCAACGCATAGCTTGCCATCTCCTTGTCCAAGGCCTGTTTACAGGGTAAGGAAACAACTATTTAAGTTTGTAATTTGGATGAACTATACCTTTAACATTGAACAAACATGATCCACACAGCAACACAAGCAGTGAGTGACATTTTATGAGCTATCATTCATCAACAGCGGGGTCTATGGGTGTCTGTGTGGAAAAGCCTCTTGAGGAAGAAGAGCTGTAGGTAGCCCACCATGATGATGACCACACTCTGGACCGCAGACCACCAGGTGACGTAGTTGTGGTTGAAGAGGAGAAGGTAATGGTCCGCACCTCTGCTCATGCGAGCGTAGTTGTAGTGCCGCCACATGTGGAATATGTGACCTTGTATCTTGTTGGTACTCTCCTAGAAAAGATTAGTCATAATTGATGAGATGTTTTCTAATAGATCAAAATCTGTTCAAATTGACATTATCAACTATAAGCCATAACAGTGGCTCAGAACACTCAGGTTGTACAACTGATGTAAAATGCATTGGACACAATGGTTGTGATACATCATATTTTTTTATGAATTGTCTGCAAAAAAAATGTTTACACAACCAGTGTGGAGACACCACACGAGTAGTTTAAATATTTCTGTGCAGACAAACTCATCAGAAATATCCGTGATATTAATTGTGAAAGTCCAGAACCCTCTAGTGCAGGGACATCATGTACCTCAATGTTGGACAGAGTGTTGTTGAGGACTTTTTCTCCTTCCTGTGTCTCTCGCTGCATCTCCTCAGCGCCTTCATAGTACACGCCGAAGTTGAGAAAGACTCGGACGCCACCAAAGTGGTTCTTATAGTTCCCCAAGCACATCTGATAAAAACCTATAAATTGCAAATGGTTGATTCTCATCAACATGACAATTAACTTAAAAACATAATACAAATGAAAGATCACAGATGTCTGTGACTTTACCTGTCACTTCAGTTTGGAAGTTGATTTGACCAATGGTGTTGTCTGTTGAGGCCATGAGGTCCCCTTCTGGGGAGATGACGGTCACGTAAAGATGGTGGTCGCTGGCTAGCCCTGTCACCCACTGGACCTACACACACACACATGGAACATTGCACAGCCATGGTTACCTGATGTCCCTTGATAAAATGTGTTATTTATGCACAATGTTTGATCTTGGTAATGCTACTGTTAAACACACACACACACACACACACAGGTGCCATTTTATCACAAAATGTATTTTTAGTCTTCCATTCAGTTATCTTAGTTCTACGTTGAAGCTAAGCAAAGATAAGAAGATAAGGAGTAAAATGATAAGTCCAAGGTCAGGCAAGACAAGCCAGGTTCCACAAAGGTACTGGGGTATTATTATATGGTAGCTTGTTCCTCTAATCTTCATCAACTAAAAGGTATCTTCAAACAGTATCATTGTAGCACATTTTATTGGCACAATACTGCTCAAGACAGTGCACATCATTTAGCAAAGGCTGGGAGTAGTCCCGAAAAGGGGTTTGAACTAGGGACCTTGTAATTGTCAACCCAACACCAGCTGTTCCCCCTAAAAGATCCTAACCTCTTGATGAGGTCGCTAGATGTTGGGTTAAGATAGTATGTACCTGTAAATGTACTTACCATATATGTTAGGTAGAAGCTCCCACTCTGGTGTGCAAAGTGCCAAAAGCACTCTAGCCCTGAGGCGGGCACCACAATGGCAAAGTCATATCGATCGGACCCTCGGAACAGGTTGTGGTCCTTCAGGCCTAAGCGAGGCTCTGTCTTTTGTCCATCACCCCAGTGCCCCATAAGGAGTATGATGAGAACAGAGTACCACAGCACAACTTGCATGGTCTGCATTCATACACTCACAAACTCATACTGTTTGGGAGTGGTAGACTAGAGGTAGCTACTTTTTTGTTGAGCCAATTATACAATACTGTATCACGCCCAGGAGAATGATTAACCACGGTTGTGTTCATTAGGCAACAGAAGAAAACTGAGTAAAACAGGGAGGAACTAGCTGGACCTGACCAAATAAGAAATGCTTATTTTCATTTTACATTGCATAATGTTAAACATAATGAACACAACCCACTTGTGTAAAAAAAACAGTAACAGTAATGTGCTGCTAACCATCACTGAGTCAGAACACAGAAAAAAAACTCAAATCCACACCAAATATTTGCACTGTAATGACATTTGTCAAATGTGTGAGACTTTAATCAATTCCAACATAGATATATAGGGAGCAGTTCCCATTAGTAACACTAACATTAGCAACAGGGTCGGGGTCAATTCGATATTAATTCAGTCAATTCAGGATGAAATGGAATTTAATGCCAGGATTTTATCCGATCAGCGGTAGATCCGCATAATAGCGCACTTGAAGTTCAAATGTCATTACAGATTGAGCCAACATATGCAGCATTTACCATGAATGCGGTCTCCGCAAATACAGGAACATTGCCTTTAAAAGGTACATAGCCAAAACGGGCCGATCGGATTGAATCCTTAATTCACTTGTTGACTGAATTGTTGTTGACAGAGTTGTTACTGGTTGACTGAATTAAAAGGGAATTCATCCCAACCAGGGCGCATGAGGGCACTGAATAGTAAAACCATCCAGGGACTCAGCAGCGAGGTTTCTCTGGTGCCTCTGTAGTGGGCTTGGTGTTGAAGAGCCTCTTGAGGAAAAAGAGCTGCAGGTAGCCCGCCATGACAATGACCACACTCTGGACCGCAGACCACCAGGTGATGTATTTGGAGTTGGAGAGGAGGAGGTAGTAGTCAGTGCCTCTCCTCATGCGGCCAAAGTTGTAATGTCGAAACATGTGGAAGACGTAGCCCTCCACGCGATGGGAAGTCTCCTAAAAGTGGTTTGGAGAGTAGTGTTGTTAAAACGTTATTATTATTTAACACCAACTGACATAATTAATGCCACAGATAGGCCTAATACATTAATTGCGTCATATATTCAGACATATATTACCGTTCAGTCATTGACTAAGTCAAAAATTGTGAAAATGCAAAAATTTAATTTTAGCAAGTAGTTACACCTACTCAAGTATTTTAACAGTAAGTTGTAGTATGTTTGGGCATGTTTACGTTTTAGTAACGTATGATATTGTCACAGGTGTGATAAATGCCCTTATTACTGTGCATGCCCATATGCGCTTAATTGAGAGCATGGTAATTGATTGATTCATTGAGCAATGTGATTTGTTCTCTATGTGATTGGCTCTCTTTATAACCCTTGTTTCCGTTGTTTGAGGTGCGGCTGCCCAGGTGTAGGGCGTTGGTGTTTCTAAAATAAGTATTACTTTGATGGAATGATGACTAAAGTTGTGTTATGGTTTCCCTACACTGAAACAGGTTTTTGTTTGATTTGATTGTTTTGTGTTATATCCTCCCTCCATTTTGTTTGCAAAGCTATCTTGGTTTAGGAAGCTGAAACTGGGAGGGGGGAAATGAACTTGTGAACTGTTACCTGCCTGGTGGTGTAGGCGGATCTATGGTACTGAACTGAGTTTAGTCACAGCCCTTCTCGACCAGGGTGTCACATTTGGCAGTAGTCGGCAGGGTTTGGGACTCAATGAGTGGCAAAATATTGCAACCACTCAGAGCATAAACAGGCACCCTATGGGCAAAATGTAATAACCATGAATTGTGTTAATTTAAAAAATAAAAAATAAAATGCGCAGAAATCTAATGGGGGGTTTCAAGCTTTTGGGGAGTTCTCAAGCTACTGAATCTGCCGGTTAAATGCGGCCAGGAAATGGTGATGATTCAGAAAGACCTAGCTTGTCCATCAATATCACTAGCTATCAATAGCTAGCGGGGAAAGATCGTCTAGGTAGCGAACTTGATTCTTCGTACATGTACTACTAAAGTTAAAAAGCATCCAATTGGTGTAAACATGGGTGAGTTTTCTTCCATATTTTTTTGCACCAGTCTCGACGCTATTCCTCTTAAATCCATGTCACATTGAGATTGACTTTATAATTTAAATCGAACCTATGGCCTGACTCATTACCTTATTTATTACAAAGTCAATAGTTATTGCTCTAGTATCCTCTGGTGCCAATGACATCTATAGTGCCACAAACTTCTCTGGTGCAGCCATCTAAGGCTGCAGTGACTTTATATTCACACAGCTTCTAAGGACATATACATAAGGGGACCTGTTTTGGCTCGTGAGCACCACTTTCAAAACTACTGGCTGAAAGTATACAACAATTCTGGAGCATCACTTTAAGAACCTGTATGGTAGGCAGAGCTCCCCTTGCTGTTCTTTAAACCTCACAATATATGAGACGTGATATCCGACAATACGATTTTGTTGTATGTGTATGCTGACCTCAAGTTAATTTCCATGTCAATGGACAATAAAGTTATCGTAACATATTGTACTGTACATGCAGTCAAACCCCAAATGGAGCCATTACCACTATGGTGGACAGAGTGTTGTTCAGATCTTTTTGGACTTCCTCCTTCATCTTCTTCTCCTCCTCCTTCTGTTTCTGTTGGTCATCAGAACCGTCATAGTACACCCCAAAGTTGAGGAAGACCTGCATGCTGCCAAATCGGTTGTGGAAGTTGCTCAAGCACATTTGATAGAAACCTAGAATTCAAAAGAAAAAGAAATGACATACTTCCACCACATTTCAAAGGGAAAATGTTTCATGCACCTTGTGTGTGTGTGTGCACGTTCAAAGGAGGAACAATGTACCGGTCTCTTCAGCTATAAAGTTGATTTGACCCGTAGCTTCGTCAATTTTGGACAACAGCAAGCCTTTAGGAGAGTTGACAGTGACGGATAAGTGTCTGTCATTGCCAACACCAGTCACCCACTGGACCTAAACACAGACAGACGGATCTCGTTCACCGTCATATGGGACAACCATGTGCTGCAAACCATATGTTGGGTGCTCTGTAGACTGTCTCAGTAAATGACAATGGCATAAGCCCTGAACAGATGTACTTTTTATCTGAATATTATACAGACTCATTTTAAGCCTTTTAATAAATGTTCAGGCCAAGCGAGGCAGTAATTAGTAGGCATAACTTTACAAGATAAATATGTTGCACAATAAAAATATATATCCTGTTATTGTACTACTAAACTGTGGAATAACATCTTACCATAAAAGTAAAGTAGAAGCGCTCCCCTTGGTGTGCAAAGTGCCAGAAGCACTCCAGTCCGGAGGCACGCAGCACGACAGCAAAGTCATACTGGTCCGCTCCCCAGAACAAGTCCTTGTCCGCTGGTAGGTCAGGATGGGGGTCCGCCAAGGGATTATCCAAACCCTGACTCCCCAAACCCAATAGAGCCAGGAGCACAACTAAGGATACCCCACATAACATGGCTGGTCTTCTTGAAAGGATAAGTTTCTATAGCAATAAGCTGCAGCTAGCTACTGTCTGCCAGTGTGGATGTGTCGTGGCTTGTGGGACAAGAAATGATTAACTACAACCTGTACGTCTGCTTCACTAAAGGTGGGCTCCCGGGTGAAGTTCCCCCAAGGTACAGATCTAGGATCAGCTTCCCATCCCCCAATTATAAACTTAACCAATAGTGGGGGAAGTGCAAAACTGACCCAAGGTCAGCATCTAGGGGCAACTTCAGCCTACTCCCTATGATGGGTGTAGTTGTGTGGTATGGGAAAATCCAGGTCCCTTCACATATGGCGTCGACTCAGCTGGTCCCAGTTCCCTCCCTAGCCGTTCCCCTCAGCCCTAACCCTTTAATGTTTGCGGATCTGGATAGGTATAAGCAGTGTAAAGGTGAAGCTTCCATTATATTGCTTCCACCTTAGAGATCTGCAAACATCAAAGGGCTACAGGAAGGGGAAGGGAGCGAATTGGGACCAGTGCTTCACATATGGCTTTCTGTGTACAGCAAATCATTCACCAGTTCCAAGTGGGATTTTTGAAGTGCTGCATACTGGATTACCACTTATCTTCTATACAGTCATATTGACAAAGAAATCAGGATTTTAGAGGTCAAAATTAAGTTCATTTAATGGGAGCCCAGAAAGTTTGCATGAAAGGGTTCAAAACACAAGTACATAACATACTGTATAATCTCATAACAGAGCATTTAAAAACAGCTCAGTCTTCATATATTACTTTATCCAGTCCATCACATGTCAAATGAAAAAATATGAAAATTATAATGGTTAATCAGACTTGCTCAGAATTATCTTAAGATCAGCATGGAGAGTATCGCACGAAATGCTTGTAAGGGAAGCACATGCATATACTTTTTTTTGTGTGAAAGCTCACAAGGTTGTGTACAGTACTGTATTTGGTCTTGATAAAGTAAATACCATACAGTATCATGTAAGCATTTGACTGTTTGAGATAATCATTGACTCTGCTGGAGTCATATAGTCCATTACACACACATTACAATTTTAAAGGTAGACTCTCAGCGTTATGAAATTGCCACAACCAGCACCGCAGATATTGAGATGAGTGTGATGCAAGACTTAGCTCTCACAGTGACACACAGAGTAACTACCTACGACGGCACAAAACAGCAGAAAAGTTTAGCCTCGCACTTCAACGCTCTTAGTTGTTGCGGAAATTGGCCCAATATTGCTGTTTACTTCGTGCAACACTGAGTCTACCTTTTAATTAGAGCACAGTAAAAAAATTATCATAGCATACTTACTTCCTATTAAAATAACCATGATCAGGGATCGATGTTAACTTTTGGCTAATGAATCCAGTTCCTATGTCTTTAAAAATGGTCCACCTCACAGCAAATTTGTCAGACACATTAGTAAAAGTTTATGTGATTGCCTCATGCAGAATCTAAACAGCTGATTCTAGTAGTTCTCTACCATTAATTATTCATATTTCATGCCTCCTTCCCCACCCCAACTCATCTAACTCCTACAAGTGGTAAACACACTTTTTTTGGTATGCAAAAACAACAGGATTCGCCAGCAATATATCCAGCAATATACTGTTTTCATAAAAAAAAGTATGATATGGTTATAGTAGTGGTTAACACCAATTCCTGCACATTGTTTTTCCAGAGGTGCAGCTATCTACTGCCAGGGAAGGACACTTAAGCCTAATTTATACCCTACATACAGATGCAAGAACTACAATTAGCTACGTAAAATGGCAACCCTACATAGTTGCGTAGCCAAAATACGCAGACGTGTGCAGTCCAGCAATTTGTAACTCGATACAAGTACAAGTACAAGATTGCCATTTTGCGTACCTAATTGAGTTCTTACGTTGCGTATGTATGTGCGGTATAAATTAGGCTTTACTCACTCACACCACCCCCCCCCAGAGTGAGGAAGAGCAGAGAACAACAAGTGTCTTTAAAAGGAAGTCAATAACAAAACAGAACAGTCCTCTGAGATAAAGTGGATCCTCCCTTTAGGCGGCAACTTAGGAAATGTTTACTGTGTAGTATGTCGTGTTTCAGTCTGTTTTAGGACTACAGCGCACTTTCATTTGATCGTTAAACAGGTTTTGATAAGTCTCTCGATCCTTTGATTCCTGCTCCATTCAGCTACGGAGACGTGATGTTCAGAAGCACCATTGTCCACGCGGTTGTATAGAACTTCACTCTTCCTGGTAGCTGGGTCGTGTTCATTAGGGCACGCGATGGAAAACATTTAGCAAAATAAATCAAAAATGAGCGTTTCTTATTGGACAAGTCCGCATAGCCCCTTTCCTGTTTCAGTCCGTTTTCTTCTGTTTGGTGCCTAAATGAAACTGACCCTTGTGTCAAAGACAATTCCAGAGCCAGGTTCCAAAGATTGTTCCAGACCGTACAGTAGGAAGCTTCTGATAAGGTGAGAGGTCAGACGGAGAACTCGGCGCCGGCTTTCCGAGAGCGAGTGGTGAGTAGCCGGCGCAGACGGAGACCGGCAAATGGGTTGATCCACAGCAGTGATGGCTGGCCCCCAAACACGCTCCTCATGCCCTCCCAGCGAACCTGCCTCTCCCACGTGGGCTTCTCGTTCTTCAGACGCTCAATCTCCTAGACACACACACACATAGGGGGTAAACGGCAATGCAAGGTGAGAATTCAATAAAAGTTTAGCTAATGATCAAATAACCACAATGGTAAATTAGCCTGTCATTGGTCACTAGTCTCATCAACATCACCACTAAGTTTCTTCTTTCTCACATTATCAACAGTTTTCTGAAGGAGGCTGATGTCTCATTTGTAAATAGGCCCCATTTCCCTCCTGATTCTATTGACAATGGGACTTCACTACCATGGCCATGTGCTTGTTCAGAGGGGCAGGACATTTGGAAACAAATCCTAATCATGCAGAATAGAGAATCTTATCCATTCTACATTGTTGATAGAAATGGTCAATGTAGAATGGCGTTGTGTAATGCCTTTCTTTGCCCTGCATGTCTATCTATGGTGTGTCTATGTGGTTTGGCACCTCACCGTCTTGTTGCAGATGGAGTGGACCTGAGAATGTAATGTATAACATGGAAACAATCCTTAATCATGCACAGTCCTCTATCTAATCTACATTGTATATCTAAGGTCGTGGGTTCAATTCCCACAAGAATCACATAACACAAATTGTGCTGAAAAAATTGTCTGCTAAGTGGCATATACTGTTATATTAATCTCCTCACCGTCTCATCGTTGCAGATGGAGTGAACCTGAGTGCCAAACATGACAGCTGTGAAGCTGAGAAAGAGGAGGCCCTCAAGGCAGAGGAAGATCATCAGCATCACCGTCACCGGAGGTGAAAAGTCACTGCACTCTGGAGGGGCAGAAACATCATCCAGGATAATGACAAACACTGACCTCAATGTAGTTATATTTGAAGCTGCAATCCTGAATTTGAAAATCAACAAACGGCTTCCCCGCCACTTGGTTTGGTATAAAGCTGAGGGATGGGGCAAGAGAAATGTAACCCCTCTCAAATTCATAGATGGAGCTATGGGTGCAAAGAATGATAGTCCACAAGATTAAAATGATCGCTTTAAGCGTATTTTGAAGCTGTAACCTTTTCTTAACAAATTTCTTCACATTTTATTTTGTTACAAAGTACGATTAAAGTGGATCTAATTGCAATTTTTTTGTCAACGATCTAGACAAAACACTATGTAATGTCAGTGGAAGAAACTTTGATATGTGTATATACAGTGGGGGAAAAAAGTATTTATTCAGCCACCAATTGTGCAAGTTCTCCTACTTAAAAAGATGAGAGGCCTGTAATTTTCATCATAGGTACACGTCAACTATGACAGACAAATTGAGATTTTTTTTCTCCAGAAATCACATTGTAGGATTTTAATGAATTTATTTGCAAATTATGGTGGAAAATAAGTATTTGGTCACCTACAAACAAGCAAGATTTCTGGCTCTCACAGACCTGTAACTTCTTCTTTAAGAGGCTCCTCTGTCCTCCACTCGTTACCTGTATTAATGGCACCTGTTTGAACTTGTTATCAGTATAAAAGACACCTGTCCACAACCTCAAACAGTCACACTCCAAACTCCACTATGGCCAAGACCAAAGAGCTGTCAAAGGACACCAGAAACAAAATTGTAGACCTGCACCAGGCTGGGAAGACTGAATCTGCAATAGGTAAGCAGCTTGGTTTGAAGAAATCAACTGTGGGAGCAATTATTAGGAAATGGAAGACATACAAGACCACTGATAATCTCCCTCGATCTGGGGCTCCACGCAAGATCTCACCCCGTGGGGTTAAAATGATCACAAGAACGGTGAGCAAAAATCCCAGAACCACACGGGGGGACCTAGTGAATGACCTGCAGAGAGCTGGGACCAAAGTAACAAAGCCTACCATCAGTAACACACTACGCCGCCAGGGACTCAAATCCTGCAGTGCCAGACGTGTCCCCCTGCTTAAGCCAGTACATGTCCAGGCCCGTCTGAAGTTTGCTAGAGTGCATTTGGATGATCCAGAAGAGGATTGGGAGAATGTCATATGGTCAGATGAAACCAAAATATAACTTTTTGGACTTTTTGGATAAAGAATGCTGAGTTGCATCCAAAGAACACCATACCTACTGTGAAGCATGGGGGTGGAAACATCATGCTTTGGGGCTGTTTTTCTGCAAAGGGACCAGGACGACTGATCCGTGTAAAGGAAAGAATGAATGGGGCCATGTATCGTGAGATTTTGAGTGAAAACCTCCTTCCATCAGCAAGGGTATTGAAGATGAAATGTGGCTGGGTCTTTCAGCATGACAATGATCCCAAACACACCGCCCGGGCAACGAAGGAGTGGCTTCGTAAGAAGCATTTCAAGGTCCTGGAGTGGCCTAGCCAGTCTCCAGATCTCAACCCCATAGAAAATCTTTGGAGGGAGTTGAAAGTCTGTGTTGCCCAGCGACAGCCCCAAAACATCACTGCTCTAGAGGAGATCTGCATGGAGGAATGGGCCAAAATACCAGCAACAGTGTGTGAAAACCTTGTGAAGACTTACAGAAAACGTTTGACCTGTGTCATTGCCAACAAAGGGTATATAAAAGTATTGAGAAACTTTTGTTATTGACCAAATACTTATTTTCCACCATCATTTGCAAATAAATTCATTAAAAATCCTACAATGTGATTTTCTGGAATTTTTTTTCCTCATTTTGTCTGTCATAGTTGACGTGTACCTATGATGAAAATTACAGGCCTCTCTCATCTTTTTAAGTGGGAGAACATGCACAATTGGTGGCTGACTAAATACTTTTTTTCCCCCACTGTATATATATAGTACCAGTCAAAAGTTTGGACACACCTACTCATTCAAGGGTTTTACTTTATTTGTACTATTTTCTACATTGTAGAATAATAGTGAAGACATCAAAAATATGAAATAACAATTATGGAATCATGTAGTAACCCAAAGAAGTGTTAAACCAATCAAAACATATTTTATATTTGAGATTCCTCAAAGTAGGCACCCTTTACCTTGATGACAGCTTTGCACACTCTTGTTATTCTCTCAACCAGCTTCATGGGGTAGTTAAAAGTTAATTTGTGGAATTTATTTCCTTCTTAATGCGTTTGAGCCAATCAGTTGTGTTGTGACAAGGAGGGGTGGTATACAGAAGATAGCCCTATTTCGTAAAAGACCAAGTCCATATTATGGCAAGAACAGCTCAAATAAGCAAAGAGAAATGACAGTCCATCATTACTTTAAGACATGAAGGTCAGTCAATACGGAACATTTCAAGAACTTTGAAAGTTTCTTCAAGTGCAGTCGCAAAAACCATCAAGCGCTATGATGAAACTGGCTCTCATGAGAACCGCCACAGGAAAGGAAGACCCAGAGTTACCTCTGCAGCAGAGGATAAGTTCATTAGAGTTAGCTGCACCTCAGATTGCAGCCCAAATAAATTCTTCACAGAGTACAAGTAACAGACACATCTCAACATCAACTGTTCAGAGGGGACTGTGTGAGTCAGGCCTTCATGGTCGATTTGCTGCAAAGAAACCACAACTAAAGGTCACCAATAATAAGAAGAGACTTGCTTGGGCCAAGAAACACAAGCAATGGACATTTGACCGGTGGAAATCTGTCATTTGGTCAGAGTCCAAATTTGCGATTTTTGGTTCCAACCGCTTTGTCTTTGTGAGACGCAGAGTAGGTGAACTGATTATCTCTGCATGTGTGGTTCCCACCGTGAAGCATGGAGGAGGAGGTGTGATGGTATGGGGGTGCTTTGCTGGTGACACTGTCAGTGATTTATTTAGAATTCAAGGCACATTTAACCAGCATGGCTACCACAGCATTCTGCAGCGATACGAAATCCCATATAGTTTGCGCTTAGTGGGACTTTCATTTGTTTTTCAACAGCACAATGACCCAACACACCTCCAGGCTGTGTAAGGGATATTTGACCAAGAAGGAGAGTGATGGAGTGCTGCATCAGATGACCTGGCCTCCACAATCACCCAGGGATAAGTTGGACTGCAGAGTGAAGGAAAGCAGCCAACAACTGCTCAGCATATGTGGGAACTCCTTCAAGACTGTTGGAAAAGCATTCCAGGTGAAGCTGGTTGAGAGAATGCCAAGAGTGTGCAAAGCTGTCATCAAGGCAAAGGGTGGCTACTTTGAAGAATCTCAAATATATTTTGATTGGTTTAACACTTATGGTTACTACATGATTCCATGTGTTATTTCATAAACTCAGCAAAAAAAGAAACGTCCTCTCACTGTCAACTGCGTTTATTTTCAGCAAACTTAACATTTGTAAATATTTGTATGAACATAACAAGATTCAACAACTGAGGCATAAACTGAACAGGTTCCACAGACATGTGACTAACAGAAATAGAATAATGTGTCCCTGAACAAAAGAAACAGTGTCTGTGGAACGTGTTCAGTGGCCACCAGCTGCATTAAGTACTGCAGTACATCTCCTCCTCATGGACTGCACCAGATTTGCCAGTTCTTGCTGTGAGATGTTACCCCACACTTCCACCAAGGCACCTGCAAGTTCCCTGACATTTCTGGGGGGGGAATGGCTCTAGCCCTCACCCTCTGATCCAACAGGTCCCAGACGTGCTCAATGGGATTGAAATCCGGGCTCTTCGGTGTCCATGGCAGAACACTGACATTCCTGTCTTGCAGGAAATCACGCACAGAACGAGCAGTATGGCTGGTGGCATTGTCATGCTGGACGGTCATGTCAGGATGAGCCTGCAGGAAGGGTACCACATAAGGAGGAGGATGTCTTCCCTGTAACGCACAGCGTTGAGATTGCCTGCAATGACAACAAGCTCAGTCCGATGATGCTGTGACACACCGCCCCAGACCATGACGGACCCGCCACCTCATAATCAATCTCACTCCAGAGTACAGGCCTCGGTGTAACGCTCATTCCTTTGACAATAAACGCGAATCCGACCATCACCCCTGGTGAGACAAAACCGCGACTCGTCAGTGAAGAGCACTTTTTGCCAGTCCTGTCTGGTCCAGCGATGGTGGGTTTGTGCCCATAGGCGACGTTGTTGCCGGTGATGTCTGGTGAGGATCTGACTTACAACAGGCCTACAAGCCCTCAGTCCAGCCTCTCTCAGCCTATTGCGGGCAGTCTGAGCACTGATGGAGGGATTGTGCATTCCTGGTTTAACTCGGGCAGTTGTTTTTGCCATCCTGTACCTGTCCCGCAGGTGTGATGTTCGGATGTACCGATTTTGTGCAGGTGTTGTTACACGTGGTCTGCCACTGCGAGGACGATCAGCTGTCCGTCCTGTCTCCCTGTAGCGCTGTCTTAGGCGTTTCACAGTACGGACATCGCAATTTATTGCCCTGGCCACATCTGCAGTCCTCATGCCTCCTTGCAGCAGGCCTAAGGCACATTCACGCAGATGAGCAGGGACCCTGGGCATCTTTCTTTTGGTGTTTTTCAGAGTCAGTAGAAAGGCCTCTTGTGTCCTAGGTTTTCATAACTGTGACCTTAATTGCCTACCGTCTGTAAGCTGTTAGTGTCTTAACGACCATTCCACAGGTGCATGTTCGTTAATTGTTTTGGTTCATTGAACAAGCATGGGAAACAGTGTTTAAACCCTTTAAAATGAAGATCTGTGAAGTTATTTTGATTTTTACGAATTATCTTTGAAAGACAGGGTCCTGAAAAAGGGGCGTTTCTTTTTTTGCTGAGTTTAGTTTTGATATCTTCACTATTATTCGACAATGTAGAAAATAGTAAAAATAAAGAAAAACCCTTGAATGAGTAGGTGTGTCCAAACTTTTGACTGGTACTGTATATATTAGATGAGATAAGTATTCACCCCTCTGAGTCAATAAATGTTAGAAACACCTTTGGCAGCGATTACAACTGAGTATTTTGGGTTAAGTCTCTAAAGCCTTGTTCACACTGGCAGTTTGTGACTCAAATCCCATTTTTTTGCATATCAATTCGAATCTGTTCTTTTTCCTGAAGTCTGAACAGCCAAAAAGCACATGGAATCTGATATTTCAAGCCACATTTCAAACCACCTTCGTAGGTGGTTTGAAATCAGATACAAACCTGATTCCTGGTCATGCGACTTGTGTCTAAACAGTCAAATCTGATTTATTTGCCCTCAAGAACATGTGGTAGCTAACTAGCTTGTTAATTGTTTACAAACAAATTAGTGAATGTGCTACAAACCTAAACAGCTATACCTAGCTAGCTAGCTGACTGCCGTGTCTAGCCAAAAAGGACTCGTTTTGAAAGTTGGATCATATTATCTATTGAGGTTTTTCTTACACTATCATTTTGAACATTCAAAGCAACTAATACATGTCCATGGCAGGCACTGTTGTTACCTTAGCTTGCTACATAACTTCTGAGTGATAGGAAGCAAGAGCACCACCACCAATCAGCTTACACTATTGCGCACACACTCATCGTTACTATGAAAACTAGCGTAGCCATGTCAGCAAATTAATGCTGTCTGAACTCACACAAATCTGATTTGGTCACTTGTAACTTGCTGTTTGGACAGTAAGTATTCCAAAACAGATTTGAAAAACAAAACTGATTTGAGCATCAAGGCCTGCAGTGTGAACAAGGCTTAAGAGCTTTGCACACCTGGATTGTGCAATACTTGCCCATTATTCTTTTCAAAATGATTCAAACTCTGTAAAGTTGGTTGTTGATCATTGCTAGACAGCCATTTTCAAGTCTTGCAGTTAAGTCAAAACTGTAACTAGACCACTCAGGAAAATTAATTTTCTTGATAAGCAACTCCAGTGTAAATTTAGCCTTGTGTTTTAGGTTATTGTCTGGCAGAAAGTTTAACTGGTCTCCCAGTTTCTGGTGGAAATCAGACTGAACCTGGTTTTCCTATAGGATTTTGCCTCTGCTTAGCTCCATTTTGATAATTTTTTATCTTGAAATAAACTTCCCAGTCCTTGCCGATGACAAGCATACCCATAACATGATGCAGCCACCACCATGCTTGAAAATATAGAGAGTGCTCCTCTTTGATGTGTTGTGTTGGATTTGTCCCAGACATAACACTTTGTATTCAGGACATAAAGTTAATTCCTTTGCCACATTACTTTAGTGCCTTGTTGCAAACAGGATGCATGTTTTGGAATATCTTTATTCTGTACATGCTTCCTTCTTTCAACTCTGTCAATTAGGTTAGTATTGTGGTGTCACTACAATGTTGTTGAGCCATCCTAAGTTTTCTCCTATCACAGCCATTAAACTCTAACTGTTTTAAAATCACATTTGGTGATGGTGAAATGTCCTTCCTCTCCGGCAACTCAGTTAGGAAGGCCACCTGTATCTTTGTAGTGACTGGGTGTATTGATACAGCATCCAAAGCCTAATTAATAACTTCACCATGATCAAAGGGATATTCAGTGTCTGCTTTTATTTTACCCTTCTTTGCGAGGCATTGGAAAAGCTCCCTGTTCTTTGTGGTTGAATCTGTGCTTGAAATTCACTACTCGACTGAGGGTCCTTACATATAATAGTGTGTGTGGTATACAGAGATGAGGAAGTCATTCAAAAATCATGTTAAACCCTATTATTGGACACAGAGTGAGTCCATGCAACTTTTTGTGTGATTTGTTAAGCAAATGTGTGCTCCTGAACTTATTTAGGCCTGCCATAAGAAAGGGGTTGAATACTTGTATACCCATTACATTTGTTATTTATTTTTTATTAATTTGTAAACATTTATATAATTTTCTTTTAACTTTGACATTATGGTGTATTTTGTATAGATCAGTGACAAAATAATCACAATTAAATCAATTTCAATCCCACTTTTTTATGCAACAAAATGTAAAAAATCCAAGGGGGGTGAATACTTATGATGGGTACTGTATTTTGGCAAGGAAAATCCCAGATTGTGTCTTTAAACAGGGCACATTGAAGTCAATGTAGTTGTATTTAACAGGAACAGTATACTTAGACGACTCATCATACTGTATAATGATACTCACCACTCCACTGGACCTTGACACAGGTTACGAACTGGTACCCACTCAGGGCGAGAGCGTGGGTGGAGATCATCGCTATATACATCTGAAAAAACAGAAGGAATTAAGACCAAACTAGTATTGATGGTAAAACATTCATTGCAATTAATTGTGCATTGACAATGACCATAGGCATAAAGATACAACAAAAGCACCCTGATGACCACCTATCCTTATAATAAATTGAATTTCTATCTGGCGAGAGTTAAAAAGCACAGCAGCACCAATGTTTCCTTGTGGCAATCAGTGAACAGGGACTGGGTGGTTTACAGGCTTTTATGATAAGCAAGGTGAGAAGATGCCACAAATAAAGATGACAGTTAGCCTAATAGTTCTGTCAAACCCATTGCTTCCATGCAAAGCTACACAAAAGTACAAAATAGGGATGTCAGTCGCTAAAAAATAAAAATACTTTTCTTTCCTCTTTTAGTTGATTAATTGGACCGATGTACTACAAATGCATTTCAGTATTTCCAGTATTGTGCACCTGAACTTCAACAAGGTGGAACTGAGATGGAACTCACAGTGAAGAGGACAAAGAAGCGCTGGTTGTTCTCTCCGACACAGTTGTTTACCCAGGGACAGTGGTGATCCATCTTACGGATGCAGCGCTTACAAATACTACAGGAGAGGGGAACAAAACCATGGTCGTGTTCATAAGGCAGCAAACGGAAGAAAATGGACTGAAACTGACAGGGACTACTTGGACTGCTCCAATAAGAAATGTTCCTTTTTATTTTCCATTGCAAAAGTTTTACCACAGTGTGGACTAATGAACAGGACCCAGCATATAGGCCTAAATAGGGCATTTTGCCTAGTTACTCGACCTGGAAAAACCCCTGGCCCTAGATAGTATAAAGCATAATACATGAAAGCACACAATGCATTTCCTCCTCACCTGCAGTGGTGGGCTCGCTCAGGTTTGATGCTGCAGCATTTGGGACACTTATAGATTACTTCTCCTGGTTTCAGATTCAGGCTCTCCATGTATTTCTTGGTGGCGTTGCCTTTGGGCACAGCTCCCTAAAAACAGACACACGGTTGGACAGAATGGACACAGTCAGACTGACAGGAGAACATGTTTGGACAGACTCATTCAAAATTTCAAGGAAACTCCTCGTAGGTCAGTTCTTTCATTGCTAATAGGACAACACGTGGTTCCTATAATGTGCCCATGAGCATCAGTCTGCTCTATATATATATGACATTCTGACTGCTTATTTTACAGCTTGTATGGTCCGTGTTGCCCTCCATTCAAAGTCACTCCCTTTTTCAAGTCACCCAACATTACAATGCATCCTAATTTCTTTGTTACGGTGGGCCCTAATGAGCACAACCCTGCAGTGGTCAGTTCACTCACCGGGTCGGTGAGCATGGTGCGCAGGTGCGAGGTGAGTGCCAGCACGGCCAGGCAGTTGAAGACCACGCCGTTGACCACAGCGTACCAGAAGCTCTTGGAGGGCAGCAGCATGACAAAGGTGACCACAAAGTCGGCGTAGAGCACCAGGAACCAGGTGATGAAGGCACAGACCATGCCACAGCCGTCCTGGATGAACCACACCCGCGCCGACTCCCCTGCTGCGGAACCCGCTGCAGCCTCCTCCCTGTCCAGCAGGGGGTGGTGTTGCTCTACATCTCGCAGCCGGTGACCTGAAGACATGCTGCCCTGCAGGGAGAGAATATGAAAGCACAAAAAGAAAAATATAGTATTTGTTAAAATAAGTACATTTGGTCTAATTGTGGGTATAGGCTATTAAGCCCTACTTCGTGCCCATTGACTAATTAGGCGTACTTTGTACTCACTTTTTGTTAGTGTCCTTTAGAGTGCCATTGTGTCCAATCTTCAGCACTACTGAGGAGAGCATCCAGGGCCTGACTTCTCAGGCCACATAGTTGAAAGTGAAACAGCCTTGCTATAACAGGGGCGTATTCATTACGGAAACCATTTACAGTTTAAGAATCAAAAGTATGCAAACGTTATGTTTTGCAACGAAAACTAGCGTTTCTATTAGATAGATTCAGGTAGGTCCCAGCCTGTTTATGGAACCTTTCCAATAGAAACGCACATTTTTGTTCGTTTTGCAACTGTTTGGTGTAATGATTACGGTCCAAGAGTTCAACAATCCAAATCTATAAATCAGAGGTCAACATATGATCCTTATCCAGTAACAATGTGGTGTGCACAACAGAGGGAATACCATTTGCACATCCCTTTTAAACAGACAACTTTGAGAATATGGCATTATGCAGCTTGCAAGCAACATCGCTAGCTAGCTAACGTAAACACATCAAAAGACAGCGAGCTAGCTATTAGCATTGCTAGCCCTCCGTGGTGGTTGATGTTAATAGGTTGTACACCAGCAAAGTTCATGCAACTACTTACGAAACAAACGATTGATATCCGACAGTAGTAAGTCAGTGGTGTCAAACTTATTTTGTCTTTGACTGAGAAACGTTAGCTAGCTAACGTTAGCTAGGTAGCACTTCTAGCCAGCTGTCGGCTAACAGTTACAACTGTCTAACGTTAGTGAGCATCTGCAGGCATTCGCTACCATTATTAACGTTGAATATTAGGTAACTTCATTCTTACCCTCACACAGTTTACAGGTTTCCTTCTGCTGGAATAAGGCTTCAATTTCATTCATGACAGAGTCCCACTCAAGGCAAGTAGCTAGGCTAACGTTAGCTAGAGCTAGCTACACAACAATGTTTGGGAAGGTGCATTTCCGGTGTGGTATAATGATTTGAGAACTGTCAAATTTTGTAATGATCAGATTAGTATTTTTTTAAATATCATTTGGTTACTTATTTATTTGAATAAATCAGAAGTTATTGTGCAACGGGTAAAAATTAGCTCTTTGTAATGACAGAAATTAAGTAAAGAGACTGCTCAGTTGACCTACCTGTGTACCATAGGGTTTGGCCCCTGGGCCCCTGGGCCCCTGGGCCCCTGCAGTGGGGTGGGGTCCGGGGACCCAGGCAATACTAAACAAGGTGCCATAAAATCATGAATAAAGAACATTTGACATTTTGGAGGATCATTCCTGTAAGAATGGGAGAATGCATAAAGCAATAACACGTTTGAAACAGGCGTTGAAATAGTTCTAACATACATTCACAAAATTTAATTACAACATCTGGGACTTTAATTCAGTCATTCCTTTGTTATGGAGAACTAGTTCTAAAAACATGAAGTGATAATATTGTGTGAAAAAATCCGTTTCAGGCCAATACCTTGACTCTATATGCATTTTTCTAGTCAATAGACTCCTTATCACTGAATCTGATTGTGGGTCGAAACCTGTTTGGGCTCTGCTTTTGTTACGGTCAGGGGGATTGGTATAGCATACCTTGTTCACTGCCTGTAATTATTATAATCTTACATGATGTATGCTCTGGCAGATGTTTTTCATCGAAGGACAAGATTAATGTCCTAACGCCATGACTAATGTACTGCATGTATTGTAGCCTAATGTTCTTATAAATGGTTAAACAAATATGTGGCATTTCCTGTCTGATATGTTCTAGTTCATATGTTCCCAAATTAGTGTACTCCCAAACAAATGCAATATGGTGTAATTGCAGACCGCAATTCGGGGCGTTTCTTGATGTCGTCATTCCTTGATATCAGGAAATGCCCATTGGTGCCTGCCATTGGTCAGTTCCGGTGTTTTGAGAGTGATGGTTTCTCGACACTGATGATTTTTGTACATCGCCCCTGATTGCGGTCTGCAGTTACATCCTTCTCAACTAATGTGCTAACTTGGTTTGAAAAAATCTGACCTGGGTTCAAATACTATTTGAAATAATTTCACAGCTGGGCTAGATTGAGCTTGCCTGGTGCAATGGAACCAATAGAATAGTCTTCCCATCTGGGACTCCAGGCAGGCTTAGGCAAACGCTAAAAGTATTAGAACATTTTTAAATAGTACTTCAACCCAGATCTGTTCAAAATATGTAAATCACAGGAGGTTGGTGGCACCTTAATTGGGGAGGACGGGCTTATGGTAATGGCTGGAATGGTTTCCATGTGTTTGATGCCATTCCATTTACGCCGTTCCGTCCATTATTATGAGCCGTCCTCACCTCAGCAGCCTCAACTGAATTGTCAATGAGTAATAAACTTATTTCCAGCAGGAACTTCATTTCATCCACCTTATTCTTTTCTGGAAAGTCAGTTACATTTTACATTTACATTTACGTCATTTAGCAGACGCTCTTATCCAGAGCGACTTACAAATAGGTGCATTCGCCTTATAGCCAGTGGGATAACCACTTTACAATGTTTTTTTTTTTTTTTTGGGGGGGGGGGGGGGGGGTAGAAGGATTACTTTATCCTATCCCAGGTATTCCTTAAAGAGGTGGGGTTTCAAATGTCTCCGGAAGGTGGTGAGTGACTCCGCTGTCCTGGCGTCGTGAGGGAGCTTGTTCCTCCATTGGGGTGCCAGAGCAGCGAACAGTTTTGACTGGGCTGAGCGGGAACTATGCTTCCGCAGAGGTAGGGGAGCCAGCAGGCCAGAGGTGGATGAACGCAGTGCCCTCGTTTGGGTGTAGGGACTGATCAGAGCCTGAAGGTACGGAGGTGCCGTTCCCCTCACAGCTCCGTAGGCAAGCACCATGGTCTTGTAGCAGATGCGAGCTTCAACTGGAAGCCAGTGGAGTGTGCGGAGGAGCGGGGTGACGTGAGAGAACTTGGGAAGGTTGAACACCAGACGGGCTGCGGCATTCTGGATGAGTTGTAGGGGTTTAATGGCACAGGCAGGGAGCCCAGCCATCAGCGAGTTGCAGTAATCCAGACGGGAGATGACAAGTGCCTGGATTAGGACCTGTGCCGCTTCCTGTGTAAGGCAGGGTCGTACTCTCCGAATGTTGTAGAGCATGAACCTACAGGATCGGGTCACCGCCTTGATGTTAGCGGAGAATGACAGGGTGTTGTCCAGGGTCACGCCAAGGCTCTTCGCACTCTGGGAGGAGGACACAACGGAGTTGTCAACTGTGATGGCGAGATCATGAAACGGGCAGTCCTTCCCCGGGAGGAAGAGCAGCTCCGTCTTGCCGAGGTTCAGCTTGAGGTGGTGATCCGTCATCCATACTGATATGTCTGCCAGACATGCAGAGATGCGATTCGCCACCTGGTTATCAGAAGGGGGAAAGGAGAAGATTAGTTGTGTGTCGTCAGCGTAGCAATGATAGGAGAGGCCATGTGAGGATATGACAGTGCCAAGTTACTCAAAAGGTCATGAATCATTAAAGTTGGAAAATTAATTGCTGTTCGTGGTCCTTTCTGATTTGTTGGCCTTGATAACAACTAGTGTGCCACAGGCCCAAAATAAATCCTGATAAAATTGTAATAATTTCATAACATAATGGCATGTGGTGACCACGCTGTTCTGTGTCAAAGGCCCAACTATGTTGACTGACTAAAATCACAGTCTCTATCAGTCACGTCTCTATCTGAATGTCCCATAATAAGTACAAAATGTTATTCACCCCCTTTCTCTTGCGTTCTCTTTTCCTTAGCCTCGTTCCAATAAACTGGTAAAGGTCCCGCACAGTCAAAATCATGTTTTTCATCAAATTTGATAATATTTGGATGAAACCAGATCAAAGTAGGATGACCAAAGAATGAAAAATGACTTGAATTCAGGAGGCAGGATTTTAAGGGCTTTATGTGACATCACATTAAGCCTCTCATTTTAATTCACCAATGGTAACGTCTTATTCTCGTACATAATTTAAATATGTACTGTCTTGTAACCAACAGAGCAGAAGGTGTGTTCACAGAGGGGCGCGGTTTACATAGCTAGGTAGCTAGTCTACTGGCTCCAAAATTTGACTGCATCATATCAGCAACTCCCCAAATACAGCTGTGCCAAGCTTGTAGCGTCATACCCAAGAAGACTCGAGGCTGTAATCGCTGCCAAAGGTGCTTCAACAAAGTACTGAGTAAAGGGTCTGAATACTTATGTAAATGTTATTTCAGTTTTTTATTTGTAATACATTTGCAAAACTTTAAAAGTCAAGGGGTCTGAATACTTTCCGAATGCACTGTAGTACCCAGACCTCATCCTGTCCAATATTTACTGAAATAGTCCAATATTAAAACATGGCTGACAATTCCATTTGGGCAAGCTAGCTAATTTAAACAGCCAACATTTTGTCTATATTGATGCTTTTACAATAACTATACAGTTGCATAAACCAACACAAATAATTTGTGAAACTATGATGTGATGTGGATTTTGCATGCAATTTCAATGTTGTTTGAGTTGCTTTGCGTATCAGCAAATTTGCTTGAGATGACCTCACTGCAACACTGCGTCCATGTTGTTCGTTGACATAGCTGTTTCAAAGAACTGTCAGTCAAGGTAAGTTCCCCGCCCACTCAGCTATTAGCTCCCCGCCCACTCAGCCTGTCTTTTCAGACTTCCTGATAGTTAGACATGAGAGAAAAAATAAATTCTCTCAAATTCTGAGCATTTTTATTGGGAAATAATATTATGGGTGATGTTTTGGTCACTCAAAGGGCTATTTTACATGGGAATCAGGTTGACTGTGCGGGACCTTTAAACCATAATAATAATCAATCAATGCAGATAAAGTAAATCTCCAAGAGTTTATTGTGATTGTCTCCAAGAGCTTGTTGTTTTTATAAAGTAAAGATGGATGGTGGATTGATTGGGTCAAGGTTTTTTCACAAAACACACAGGAACATGAGGACTTAACAAGCATTTCGCTACACCCACAATAACATCTGTTAAATTTGTGTGTGACCAATACAATTTGATTTGATTTGGATGGCTGAAGAAGCACAATTACATTACAGTAAGTAGTCACAGTGGAAGATAGATGGCAGTAAAACGCTTCTCAAAATCTCCCTTGCAAGCTGCCT